CCTAATCCCTAATCCCTAATCCCTGATCCCTAATCCCTAAACCCTAACCCCTAAACCTTAACCCCTTAACCCTAAACCCTAAACTTTAAACCCTAAAACCTAAAACCTAAAACCTAAAACCTTAAGCTTCATCCCTAAACCTTGAACCCTAAACCTGAACCCTGAACCCTAAACCCTGAACCCTAAGCCCTGAGCCCTGAACCCTGAACCCTGAACCTTGAACCCTAAACCCTAAACGCTAAATCCGGAACCCGAAACCCGAAACCCTAAACCCTAAACCCCAAGCCCTAAACCCTAGACCCTAAACCCTAAACCCTACACTCTAGATACACCCTGCACCCTGAACCCCAAACCCTAAACCCTAAACCCTAAACCCTAAACCTTCAACCCTAAACCCCAAGCACTAACCCTACACCCTACTTGAACTGAATCTGTCCAGTTACATGTACAACCCTACATCCTCAACTCTACACCCTAAATCCTCAACCCTACACCCTACACCCTACACCCTACATGCTACACCCTACACGCTACAGGCTACACCCTACACCCTACACCCTACACCCTACACCCTACACCCTACACCCTACACCCTGCACCCTGCACCCTGCACCCTGCACCCTACACCCTACACCCTACTCCGAGGCACGCGGGGCTTGTAGCGATCACACGCCCTACACCCTTCACTACCGTGGGAGAATACGTAGTGGTCATAGCGGGATGCGAGAGAGAGAGAGAGACATTTACTAATACCAAAATGGTCGCCGTGCGTGCACCCCCACCCAGGTTGGGCTGTCTCTAAGCAAGACTTACAGGGTTTCCTTCAAATCAAAACCCCCTTCCCTGCTGCAAGCCAAACCCAGGAGCCTAGGGTGATCATGGGGGGGGGGCGTCTTTTTGAATTTGAGGTGCCCCTGTACATGTAACGCCGTAAGTCGGGACTGAGTTCAAGACCTGACTTCTCAGGGCGTGCTCTTCGGCGCACGGCCGTGCTTTTGTGATTCAGTTCAACTCTTCGCGGCCTGGTGTACCTCTTCATCCTGACAAAGGCGGCGGTGGTCTCGCTCTGGCGGATGAATATCGGATCAAGGCTTGATGTGCACTGGAACTGAACGATCTGAATTTGTTGCAGAAGGCCCCCCGTTTTCTTTCTCTACTCGACACAACGGGCGCGCCCGACCACGTGGTTCGGATCTTCGCTCTAACTTCCCGTGAGATCTGCGCCGAGTGAATTTGCGAGAGCAAGGGGCGACGCATGGCCGTTGTGAACTCTCGATAGTTAACTGCCAAGAGTGCTTTGCCTAATATACATGCCCGAGCGGCACGCGCGGTTGCATCACGCTTCGTGTCCCGGTTCCCGGAACGGTCTTGTTCCGGGCTTCGTGCCCATGGATGCAGGGATATCTGGGTAACAAGAACCCAGACCTTTACATACCGCACCGGATGTCGCGCCTGCGTGATCTTAATTGAGTACAGGCGTACCTCGCTCATAAGAAAGCGCCCCCCCCCCAGGACCCTACAGTAGGCCTATGCCTGGGGTCCTACAGTGCTCCGGGGGGGGGGGGCGTTTTCTTATGAACGAGGTACATGTACCTCTTTACCAGAGAGTTGACTAAATCTCAGGCCGTAGGGCCCCTAGGCCTGGGGTTCGACCTGGTTTAGTTTTGAGTTTAGGGTTTAGGGTTTAGGGTTGAGGGTTTAGGGTTTAGGATTTATGGTTTAAGGTTTATGGTTTAGGGTTTTGGGTTTTGGGTTTAGGGTTTTGGGTTTAGGGTTTAGGGTTTAGGGTTTAGGGTTTAGGATTTAAGGTTCAGGGTTTCGGGTTTCGGGTTTCGGGTTTCGGGTTTCGGGTTTCGGGTTCAAGGTTTCGGGTTTCGGTTTTCGGTTTGGCGGTTGAGGATTCAGGCTTTAGGTTTCAAGGTTTAGGGTTTAGGGTCTAGGGGTTGGGGTTTAGGGTTTAGGGTTCAGGGTTTAGGGTTTAGGGTTTAGGGCTTAGGGTTTGGGGTTCGGGGTTTCAGTCCAAACCGGAAAGTAAACTCGGATCAGTCAACTCATCCGGGCCCGCTACTTTTGAGGATAATTTCCCTAGAATTTTCCATGAATCAACTTTTGAATTGGTTCTGAGGTCTGATTCTTTTGAAGTATGTTGTACAACATTCTCTGCAAAATCTATATGCCCTACGGGGTAATTCCCTAGGGTCATAGGGGGGTTCCTACGAATATGGGTTAAGGCAGTCACGGTCAAGTTTATCTTCCGGTTCGGACTGGGTTTAGGGTTCAGGGTTTGGGGTTTAGGGTTTAGGGTTTAGGGTTTAGGGTTTAGGGTTTAGGGTTTTGGTTTAGGGTTGAGCGCTCCGCCACCTGCAAGACACCGCCGACGCCAGCCCGGTAGGTCCTTTAGGTTTTAAGTGCTCCCAACACAGCCCAACGACACGCCTTTCCGTAGAAAAGATCTGCAGAAAAAGCATTTAACGGTCTCAGAAAATCGAACAGGGTGTGGAGCCTTCTCCTCAGGGCTCGAAAGCCCACGAACCAGGGGTGATGGTCAAGGATTGCAGTATGTTCCCGTTCTCCGACGCGCACGTTTCTGTTCCTGGTTCTAGAGAGGGGGTCCCCAACATTCCAAAACCGTCGAGAAAAGTGGAATGGGCCCACGGGCTGAGAAGTTAGCGCCAACCTGAGAAGTTAGCGGCAACCCGCGGGGGTACCTTTTTGGTTTGCAGAAAAGTAAAGCCACTCACTTGTCTAGTCCCAAGGCGGGCTTGTTTTTGTTGGGACTTTTCTTTACATACATTCGTTTCGATGGCCAAGGTGCCAGTATATGAAAGTTTAGGTTATGAGACTTCCGTAAATTGGTCAGGTTATTGGTTCTGCTGTTGGAGTAAAAAGACGATTTCGGTTTCAAAATGGCAAAAAGATGGTGCATTGCACATGTGAATCATGCTGGGACGATTGTTCTCGTCACCAGCAGGGTTCGAACCTGCGCGGGGATACCCCAAGAGATTTCAAGTCTCTCGCCTTAACCACTCGGCCATGGTGACAACAGCGTTATTCACACATGGCATGCTGACGAAAAAAGAATTTCAATCCTATTTAATCCAGTCCCAGAAAAGGGGTGAACAGGGGGGGATCTCCGGCGTTTCTGTGGACGCTCTTCGCAGACCTGCGAACAGCGTTTGGAAGCCGCAGCAGCGCCGCAGCGGCCTGACGCTGCGCGTCAGACAGTGCCCGGGTCCCCTCTCCGCGCCCCAAGCAGCCGCACCGGGGCGTGGGCCCCGTGGGCCCGCTTGGGGGCGTAAGGGAGGCGTAACGGGGCCGTGAGGGGTCCAGGGCACGTCGGCCGAGGGGGGAATGGCGGGAGGCAGGCGCCCACCTTCCCACCGACTCGGATAACTGCGGGGATCGTATTTTGGGGTCTCTGAGCAGCGCGGGCGGTCTATTTGAGTAGTGCAGGCCAGCTCACTCGCGCACGAGCAATGTCCCGCGGCACTGCCTTGCTGGCCGCGGTCTTACTCCTCTGCGTCTCCGCGCCTGCCTCCCCCGCCTCGTCGCATCCGCTGGGCTCAGCTAGCAGGTGCTGCGAACGTGCGTCGCCCGGCTGCTGGCGAGCGGTTTCCGCGGCCCGGCAGCAGCTGTTCCTGCGCGGTGGTGGCGCAGCGCCTGCGTCTCCGATCCGACCGGGGGGGTCGACGTTTAATGGCAGCCAGGCGGCCGCGAGGGGCGTCCCAGACTTTCTCTCGTTCGTCTCGGGCGTGGCCGCGCCAGATGGGGGGATGGGGGAGGAATCCGGTGGGTTGCGAGATGAGGCGGAGGGGGGCGAAAGGGGGTACGTCGACTTTGCCGGGATGAGCGCGCTACGCTGCGGGATTGACTCCTTGCTCGCCAAGTGCGGGGAGGGGGGGCGCCTGGCGATGCTCGAGGCGCAGGCACCCGCCCCCCACGCCTCGCCACCCGCAGTCAACCCCGCGTGGCGTGCTTCGTAGACTCCCGGGTGCCCGTGGCCGGTTTTGCATTTGCATTCACAAGCGACTGGGATCTCTTTGCGCCCTGGAATGGTACATCGGGTCTGGAGAATGCTCTGGTGCAGTGCGAGCAAGTGGCGGCTTCGCGCGGGGGGGGGGTGCGAGCGTGGGCGGCTGAGGTGGGTGATGGGGACGAACCCTGGACCCTGAACCCTGAGCTGAGGTGGGTGATGGGGATGGGCAGCTGGCGGAGGAGCTTGCACGAGCCGCGATGCCTCCTGCCCGAGAGCGCCTCCAGGTACGCCCAAATCTTCCAGGGACACACAAATCGCATAAGTAGGGTTCACGGACACTAGTTTTAGATCTGCGTAGAGCCCTGGTCTGTAGAATTTGGGTGCTAGGACCCTAGTTCTAGATCCCCAGCTAGTAGAATCGGGGTTCCAGAGCTCTAGAACGCTAGTTAACAGTGTTAGGGTTCTAGAACCTGATTCCACAGATATGTGCGCCAGCCAGCATCCCCCAGGGCCGTTTCTCCTCCCTCCCTCTCTCTCTCCCTCTCCCTCTCTCTCTCTCTCTCTCTCTCTCTCCCGCTCTCTGATCGCGGCGGCAAATCCCATGTCATCCACAGAGGCGATGGTGATTCTCGTACTGCACTGCGAGCCTGGAGATTTTGCAAAAGTCAACTCCCCCACAAATCTGTCAATTTAAGAAACGAGGTACACGTTACGTGTACTTCTTTACTACACATGCACAGGTGAGTTGACTAATACAAAAACTCCGCCCTGGCAGTGTTCTGTGCCACGCGTGACCAGTTACACGCGCCGGTGTAGTGGGGCACCCCTATTGACTAGATTATTCGGGACCCTCGTTAGTTTAATTAGGGTAAACCCCTTTACGGATCTAAAACCTGAGGCAGGACCCTGATCAGGAAAACCCTGATTATGAGAAGAGTCATAGGGCTCTACAAAGCTCGGTGTAGATCCCAACTAAGGGCGCTTAGTACCCTAAATCTGGATCGCGGATCTAAAAGGGTTCTTCGTGGGATTTCCTAGGGTTCTCAGGACCTTAATTCTACTAAGAATCTTATTCTACTAATTAAGGATCTAGTTATCCGCAGAGTCCTATTTAAGTGATCCTAGACCCCTAACATGTAAAATTAGGGTCATTGGACCTAAATACAAGAGAAACCCCTGTTAAGAATTTGATTTCCACATTACACGAGCTGTAATAAGCAGAAATTTGGGCTAGAATGATAATTTTAGAACTGTGATTCGACCCTTATTCAGGGCTCTAGAACCAAAAGTCTAAATTCCTACGTAGGTTTGTTCAATAACGTTACTACGAACTCATCTTTACGTCTACAATTCGGGTTCTAGAACCCTACCTCTGTCTAAGGTTTTAGAACCCTAAACCCTGCTGCTAGAAGATAGGAGCCCCTGATCATCAGAATCAGGGTTCTGTGACCCTAAATCTTCCAGGGACACATCATTTGTAGAATTAGGGTTCACGGACCCTAATTTTAGATCCCCGTGGAGCCCTGGTCCGTAGAATTAGGTTTCTAGGACCCTAGTTCTAGATCCCTAGCCAGTAGAATCGGGGTTCCAGAATTCTAGAACTCTCATTAACAGCGGTAGGGTTCTAGAACCTAGTTCAACAAATATGTGGAATTAGTTCTGTACGACCCCTTCTTAATAGAATCACGGTTCTGGAACCCCAAGTGTACCAATTGGTGTTTTCTCGAGTTCAAATAGTCGATCCCTATTCTTGATCCCGAACTCTCGATCTCTGATTCTACCAGGGAGGGATTTTACAACACAATTTCCACAAAACCCCGAATTGTACTAGCGTGTCCTAGAACACTTGTTGTACTCACGTGAAATCTCTGAACCCTAATTCTACTAATTAGCCCCCCCACGTAGGTAGGGATGCTGCAAACCCTATTTCCACCAGTCAGGACTCCCGCATTCTTCTTGTGTGCCACCCCGGATTGCAATGAAACCCTAAACCCTACACCCTGAACCCTAAACCCCAAACCCTAAACCCTAAACCCTAAACCCTAAACCCCAAACCCTAAACCCTAAACCCCAAACCCCAAACC